TATATATATATATATATATATATATATATATATATATATATATTAAAACATGTTAAAAATCGCTACATAATGGCAATTATGTTTTGACCCTACAATTAAGCTACTGGCGAGTGAATGATTAGTTTAGTTTCAAAAGCCAAATACTTTTTAAAAAATAGGCCTGTGGGTATTGCCGTGATTAACCAATCAAATGTGACCTACGCTACATTCAATTTCACCGATAAGAATTGTTTATATAAGTCATGACACGAATTTGTTTGCACATAAATCCTAGACAATTTCCTTATGGGCAGATACAGATATATTACCTTATTTCGTAAGATGTATCGAAGTCTGACGTTCAGCTTTCCTAAGAAGTAACAGCGAAAGAGCTCTGCTCTGTATTGAACCCTTTTAAAATAAATGTTACGTACAGTGGAATTATACTCCCGTTTGTTCTCATTTATATATATATATATATATATATATATATATATATATATATATATATATATATATATGGTATCAAATGAAGACGAAACGCGTCGGCAAAATGTATGATTTTTTCCAATTGTGATTTGATACCAATCTGTCTTGTCCACAGAATTCATCTGGGAATTTAACTATATATATATATATATATATATATATATATATATATACACCAAACGTTGAGAAAAGAATGTATATTTATTATTAGTATGAATTTTAGATCTGTTAATATACATCGAAAACTGATTTATTACCAGCAGTACTCACTATGCGCTATTTTGTAGATAAATAAATAGATACATTGATAGAGTGAAAGAGTTTCACCATTTAAGACAACCAAAATGCGACAACGCGCAGTTCCTCGAGAAAAATCTTCGGAATATTAAGTTATTCATACATAGAAAAATTCAATCAATTAAATCTCACACACACCATACGTACACACGCACACATATGCACACACGCAATCACATACAGACAAAATCTAATAATTTAAAAAACATCAGTATTGATTTGAGGAATTTGCTTCGCAAGGAAAAGTATTCATTTAGTCTTTTTAAGTGGGCAATTTTGTGATTTATTTTTAGTGCTTGCTTGTTTTTTTTTACGTCTCTATCCGTCTGTGTGTGCGTGCGTGGGTGTGTATATATATATATATATATATATATATATATATATATATATATATATATATATGTGTATGTGTGTGTGTGTGTGTGTGTGTATGTTTCCATAGACTAATGCAGGAATCGGAGACATAAGCCAGGTGGTGATGGGGAGGTACATGAGGTTGACCTGTATGTTACTGTGTTTGCAATTATATCGTGCGTTGTGGCTTTGTCTACAGCCGTCGCCACACCTGCAGATCTGTACATTCAAACGAAAACTTAGAGATATTCATTCATTATTCGATTTCTTGCTTTTACAAAGTCGTATATGTGCAATTTAATTAACATTTATGCCTATATATTTGTATATTCGTGTATTAACATATATATATATATATATATATATATATAAAAAAAAAGTTCTCCTTCCACTTTGCCGGTAGCTAATACCAAATTAGTCAGGTTTCGATCCTGGCTTGAGGCGATCGGATGTTTAGTTACACTCTCGGTTGACAAATATATATATATATATATATATATATATATATATATATATATATATATATATATATATATATTGTCATCCACAGGCAGACTGTTTCGCTGTATCACAGCTCATCAGTGTGGCTAGACGACCGGTTGCCTCTAGCTAGGGTAGAAACCTGAGTGAATTGGCCTCACCCGGGGATTCTACCACTAAGCCGTTGGGGCACGGCAGGGATGAATGTGAATTTAAGTGTATTTATTTTTATATAAACACACAATGACTGAGAGAACTCGATTCGATTTACCGAAGAGTCTTGCATTATTAGCCGTAATAGTCACTGTTTACAAACCCACACTTCCTCCCCTTTTTACTTTATAATAACTACCTACTCTTTTCTGACTGCACCCGCCAGCTAGCTAATCCCTGGTTTAGACGCCTGCTCAGTCACATTTATATTGCAACTATGCGGAGCAGACGTTTGTGAGAGCACATAACTACTCGACCACGTGCATATACCGACATATATATATATATATATATATATATATATATATATATATATTTACGTTACAAAAACTTGGTAATCCGTATGGGTAGTCCCAAGGAGGATAAAATCCTGAGTGCTCAATGTAAATTGAGCTAATAATTTAAAGAAAACAGAAAGTAGTCTGTTTTTCTTTAATATATATAGAGAGAGAGAGCACATGCTCTCGGCAAAACGCGACGTTATTTAATTTTTCACTTTGTCTCATCGTCATTTTTCTTTTGGGTACTTATTATACATCCTACAAACGCCTGGTTCACACTTCTCCCTGTCGAGTAGAGGTTTATCCCTTGTTTTCTGTTTAACATTGGGTTTCTGGTTCCTTCTGCTCCAGCTCTATACTCTTAACTCTTGTTTCTTTCTACACTAATATAAGTCTACAAAGTAACCCTTTACCTTGATTGATTCTTGGGCCTTGTATCGGTTGAACATTAGTAAAGCAAACACACACACACATGTATATATGTATTTTAGTGTGATATTATTCTGTTGTGTAATTATATAATGCTAATGTGGTTCTGAGAACAAGTTCAGTGATAAATATCCCTTTGTTACTGATAAATTTAATATAGAAATTAATAAATATTACTATTGCATTATGATCGATCTTTGCTGGATCCTATGCACTTGTAATTTTGTGTCATGCTAAGATTAACTTAGATATTAAGAGATATTAACAAACTGAGGTGGATAGATCATAGTTCCACCAATTGGTAGGATTCGTTTTTTTATATTAATATCTTCTGTTTCTTCATGTGCGCCTTGGAAGACAATTCTTTCTCAAAATCTTTGATAGGAGAAGCTTGCAAGTAAATCGATCGATACACACTTTGACAGAAATCAATATGTATTTTTGAACAGCGGCATATCATTCGGCATATTGGTGGATGTGTCTGTCTAGAAGCGAAATTTGTCTGATTGCATGTTGGCGCGGTTTACTCTTTGCATGGATGTGTTTCTTAAGTGGTTCGCAACAAAGACAATTTAAACCTTCTGTATGATTATTCTTGTTTCTTTAATCTTATCCCTATAATAATATTCAGTTCTTGGACCAAAGATGCAGACATTACGTATATGGATATCTCCCGCATATATAGACTGATGTTCCTGCTATATATATATATATATATATATATATATATGTAAACGTTTTTGATAAAACACAAAAAGAATCTGCAACATCATTGGTACTGACCTGGCATCCAAGCTTCAGTCACTTTCTCTTCACCGTAATGTAGCTTCCTTATGCTTTCTCTATAAATAATTTTTATGGTAATTGTTCTGGTGAATTTTTCTCTATGGTACATAGACTTTATCCATTCAAACGCAATACTAGATTGGCAACAAGGTTTCATCATTTTACAGTTGAAGTGGTTAAATATAACCGTAATTTCTATGCTAACAGTTTCTTTTCTCGCACTTCTCGCATGTGGAACTATCTTTCGGCTTCTTGCTTTCCGGCCAACTTGGATCTACAAAAACTTAAATTAAAATGTCAATCATTATCTACCGTCTTCTTGATTCCTTTTCTTTTATTGTTATCGCTCCTTAATAATGTTTTTCTTTTTCTCATATTTTCTAACACTCAGTAACCCGTTGTGTCTTAGTGGCTTTATTGCCAGGCTTGGATGAAATGATTAAAATTCATGTTTTCCCATGCATGTTAGATATACAAGGGCATATAACATGAATGGCTGTGTTGGAGTATGAAGCACTAATTAGATTTTTTTTTTTTTGTTGTTGGCTTGTACACGATTATCCACCCCCCCAAAAAAAAAAAACCACGGAAGATATCAAAAACCTTTTAGCGAGACTGTCTAATGAAGTAGGGCGTGCTAAAATAAATAACACAAGACATGAATATTCATTAATTAATATTTTATTCACACTAGTATTTAATCAATTACTTTTAGCCAGCCTGTGGTGTGCTCAAGAGTTTGTGATTTGAAAAACTCAAATTAATTGAAGTTCCAAGGAGTTTGTGATTTGAAGAACTTAATTTTCGGCCTGAATTGGGATTTCGGCCCAAATCGTTTGGCCGCAGTTGGATTTATAAACCGAATCAGAAAGTGAAGTTTTGAAGTTCCATAGAGAGTGTATTGAGGAATTCAAAGTTATTTCTTTAAAAATTTACTTGCTGTTTTGGACCAGAGGCCCAAGCAGCCCTCCACATGTGCTAGCTTAAAAGTCTACACAAAGTACATAGGTAATATTTAAAAGTCCGCACATAGTACATAGGAAATATTTTCGTTAGGCTAAGATACTTTTTTGGTAAGAGCTAATTGTAAATGCTAAGGAATCAGGTGACAACAAAAGCAACATAGTACATTTTCGGTGTTTGATAATTCTTGCTATTTAGACATAATAAAGAGAGATGACGCACGAGAAACAGGTTTTTGTCTGACAACTTCTACAGTATTGGTCTCAGCGCCACGACTCGAAGAGCTGGGCAATCGATAAACAAAGAAAAAGCACATAACTCAACAATCCTCACAGCAAAATACTTCTTTCGGTAATGCATTTTGGTCTCTTTATAGCGATTTACTAAGCATAGCTTAGATGTGACACAAGGCCGAAAACAGGAAGCATCGAACTCACTACTCCGTGGAAATTGATCTAGCGAGACAAACTTGCTAATTATTACACCATACTTAATTACCTTTATTACACGTTTGATATTCAAATTGGTAAAATCCGATGACATATACTTGATCAAATGAATCCGTCTGATATTACAGTTTTCGATGAAGCCATGTTGTCGAATATATTGCAATATTGTAACGTAACTGATTCTTCTTCTGCTATATGTTGTCTCCTTTCAGAACGTGAGCGATCACGACTCTCCACAATTTCCTGTCATTAGTATATCTTAGTAAATTTTGGGGCTTACAGACATATCACGTTTAAACACCGGTTTTTCGTACGACCACCGAAGTTATGCAACGTCGCGCCTGGTCAGTACCTAGATGGGTGACCACTTGGGAATACCTGGTTCCGCATACTTGGATGTGTGGGTGGTGTAATTAACAATACTTTGGATTTGTTAATCGGAGAGCCGAGTTCCAATTCCAGTTGGGTTCGTTATATTCACTTACGCACAAATACCCTGTTTTAAGCTTTAAATAACATGCAAGACTATAAAAACAGAACAATAAATTAATAGTAAATTTTGTCTTTTAGCTATGTTTCCTAATCCCTGTTCTGTCAACCACTTGCTCGTTAGGGGAGGTTACGTGCTGCTTTCCTCTGTTCCTCTGGCCTGCAGTATGGCCTGTCAGTGTAAATAATTGATTAGGATTTGTTTTCTACGACTTATCAACTCTTTGCACGTTATTTACAGCCAGAAAATATTTTTAGATTGTAAGAATTTCTTTTGAGGGTGATAATAATGATTTAGTGATACAAATATTAGTAATTAACCCATAGCTGAAGGGAGAATAGATGGATTCATACGTTTCTCAAGTCTATTTGTGCGTAAGTGAGTTTAACGAATATGACTGAAAGTGGAAATCGACTCTACGATTAAAAATCCCCAAATATTACTCGTTATATGTCTTCAGCAGATCCAAGCTTACATCACCTGATATTTCCAAGTGGTCACCCATCTAAGTACTGTCTGGGTTCGACTTTGCTTAACTTCGGTGACCGTAGGTAAACCGTTGTTTCAAAGTGATGTGGCCGTAAGACTTCAGTGTAAATAAGTATTTTTAATGAAAATATAAATATTGGAGCGGTAACTTACTGAACTTCTTTGTAAAGTCCGTGAAAATAAACGGTAAATGTTGTTATTTAAATTTCGACGTGATCGTTATAATTTATTGATGACAGCATGTCTATGTCACAGGTAAACGGAATTCTTCATCGGCTAAATACCGGGTGATTGTAAAGTAACTCCCGATTTTATGTATGTTGGACATTCCTGTCTTGTAAAAAATATTGTTAGACAGGAGAGTCTTTCATACATAAAATAGGGAGTTACTTTTCAATCACCCTGTATATCGGCAGTTCCTGAATTCATTCAAATCTGCAATTCTAATGGTGAAGAAAATTTTACATAGTTGTTGATTTTTGGATTTCCTGGTTAAGATTTCTAAAATTAGTAGCCATTTTTAGATTTAATATTATAACTTGTACGCGTGTTGTTTGCAAGTATTTGTCTTATGGGAATTTATTGGCAAGAAGCACATGTCTGTAGGATTGCATGTTTTTGCACATATCTAAATATGTATTTATTTCACCATAAAGGTCAGTGTTTCGAATATTTTATATCTTGATTTGCTCCACATTTTCGTTTTATGAAAATTTTATTGAGCATTCTCTTAAATTTTCCATTCTTTTTAGCAAAGACTGAATTCAGAATATATATATATATATATATATATATATATATATACTAATTTCAATAAAGGTGCAATCAATTTACAAATTCATGAATTATTCATACAAAAACTACGCTCTACAATCTTGACTGGGAACCAGTCTAGGTGAAAATCAATTCTAAATTCAAAACATTAGGTGTTTTGATAGCAAGTGACTCAGCAAGTGGTCATTTGTAGACCAGTAATGTCTATTCAGTTCTTTCGAAAAGTGTGGACGACACAATGAGCACATTATCAAATTATATCTGTGAGTAGCTTGGTTTTTCGGATCTAAGAACGGAACTGCTGTATTCACAAAGGTTGAAAACGACGTGAAAGCACAATATATTCTCATATATATATATATATATATATATATATATATATATGAGTTATACCTTTCTCAAGGATATTTGCACAAAAGTGAATGTAACAAATACGACTGAATTTAAACATGGTTCTCTGATTTTCAATTCAAGCTGTTATTCATTGCACCACCCGCGCATCCACCATATATATGCACGGTTGTGTAATGGATATGTATATAGATAAGTTCTCCCATATATCGATATGGATACCAACGAAGTTCGATGATAGAGACCTTATTAATTTCAGTATATATATATATATATATATATATATATATATATATATATATATATATATACGAATACATATATATATATATATACGTAAATATTATATTACGTATTTTATATATGTTATATATAAAATTGTATTAATAGAAATAACGTATAAGAGAATATATATATATATATATATATATATATATATATATTAAGACATTTTATGTTTATATCTTCTTAATATAGATATAAATATTTAAGTAAATGCTCTGTTTTATAATAAACAGTATGAATAACATTTACCGACCTGAATGCCCGAAAAAAATGTAAATGTTATTAATACTGTTAACATAAAAATGTCTTAAAATAATTGTCGGACGTTGTCCATTTCATAATGTGATATATATATATATATATATATATATATATATATATATATATATATATATATATATATATATATATATCGCACTTATTATAGAAAGCACTTATTTTCTACTTTTTATTGCAGATTCAACGGTATCCCTACAATTGTCACAAAGAAATGTTCGTCTGAACTAGCTCCTGTTTTCTCCAAACTTCACAATAAATGTCACGCTTTTATTGTTGGAAGTCCACCTCTATATTTCCTCTCTATAGTTCTGGGAAAACCTCTGACCCATCTAATTATCACCCTATTAATCTCTTACCTCTTTTAGCAAAGTATTATGTGCTCTAATCAACGCTTGAGTTGTTTAAGCACCACAACCTACTTTCGTATAAGCAACATAGATTCCGTTTCTCCATGTCTTCTATCGATGTCTTGACAGCCATTACTGAATTTGTCTATCAAGCACAGCAAAACTCGGGCTGTGGCTTTAAATAAATAACAGGCTTTGGGCGAATATTTCGCCTAATCCATTCATCGCGTAATGAAGGTTATGTTAAATGGGAAAGCTTCTACTTCATTTCATATAAATGCAGGAGTTTCACAAGACTCTATCCTCGGACCTACATTATCTCTGATCTTCATCAATGGCCTTCGCAATTTTCCCAACTAGGCATCTATGCAGGTGACAACAATTTACTACTGTCATAGTAACAAGTTCGACTAAGTTGAACTAACAACAGCTCTCGAAAAGGACATCCAATTAGTGGTTAATTCAGGCAAAGAATGGCTTTTAAATTTTAAAATCTCCATAACAAAACTGCTTTCATTTAATTACCACATAGAACCTTTTCTGTCTGACGTCAGCATGTGCAGTGCTAAACACTAGACGAAAAACATTTGCACCTTCTTGGATTCACGTTTTCCACTGATGTGAAGTGGTTTGTTTATATTGAATAGGTCTGCTGGCAAGAAAGTTGGTTCCCTGCGTCGTCATAATCACTCTTGCTCATTTATAAATTTACCATTCGCGTACGTATTGAATTCTGATGCCATACCCAGCCTGATGTCCCTATCTCGAGATATTTGATAAAATTCAAAGAAGGGTCCGTAATAACAAAATCATTACTATATTATTTACACTATTTACATTATTCAGATTGTTGTCCTCATCTTTATTGGCACCTTCACAATACTTCGGCCAATGTACGATACAGCCTTCTTCAGGTGATATTTGTTTGAATTTCGAACCGAACCCAGAATAAGAATGTGACAATAAAGATGAGGACAACAATCCAACCAATGTAAATCGTGTAAATAGTTACAATACCTCATCTCAGAGATATAAACAAATTATTGTAATATTAGTAGTGCATTATTAGTATTGTCATTTATATTGTCATGTAAGAATATATGTGTGTACGTGTTTGAAACTTTTTCCACGAAAAATGTGTTTTCCGTGTCACTTCTCTTCGAACTAATAATTGAAGATAATCTTACCGCTCGTGTGCGAGCCAGCAATCTTGCAACATGTTCAAAATGACGCAGCTATCTGTCTCTCTATCGGCTTATATATCGATTTCTGTTTATTTTGGTGTTGTATTTCAGCGACAGCATCTCTGTCTCCCATTCGCTTTCGTCTTAGGCGCACACATTCTATATACAACTTCTTTGCGTAATATGTTAGTCACCTTTTTTTTCTTTTTTTTTGTTAACAGTTTGCTATTTAAAAATATGAAGGAGACAAGGAGAGAAAAGATACAAACAAATTAAAATAATCTGGTATTGCACCAGAAATCTATGAACAGCGATTGATAGAGGGATATAACATAGATAGATAGATAGATAGATAGATAGATAGATAGATATAAACAGACTGAGATAAATATGAACAGATTGCGATACTTTTATAAATATAAATATACTGGTGTAGATAGATAGATAGATAGATTGATAGACGTAAAATGGCTCAGATAGATAGAATTGAATAGAAATAATGAATTCATATAGGACAGGGGTAAAAAGTTCTAGGTTTAAACAAAAAATTTGATAATTTGGTCAGATACTCGGAAAAATGTCGAGCCGAGAATTTTACAGCACCATATTTTATACACACGCGCATATATATATATATATATATATATATATATATATATATATATATATGTGTGTGTGTGTGTGTGTATATATATATATATATGTGTGTGTGTAAACCTATAAGTACATAAGCACGCTCTCACGCATATAGACATATAATAAATATGCCGATTGCTGACTCTCTCTCTCTCTCTCTCTCTCTCTCTATATATATATATATATATATATATATATATATATATATATATATATATATATATAATTTAAATTATTCGAAAATTTTCGAATAAATATATATATATATATATATATATATATATATATATATATATATATATATATAAAATTTATTCGAAAATTTTCGAATAAATTATATTTGCTTTTACACTGTATTGAGCACTCTTTTAAGAATAGTATTTTTGGTTACGGGAATTTATTCCGTATTCATCAGTCCTATACTTGGGTATATATATATATATATATATATATTAGGGAGACATTATAGTTGTTCCAACGAGAGATAGGGAGAGATTATAGTTGTTCCAACGAGAGAATATAAACTTATATTTTAAAGAAAAAAAAGAAGCCGCAAACGTTTTTAGTTATAATGTGGATTTTTAAAATATACATTATACTTTATTTTCTATAATTTTCTACGTGTACTTCGGGTCTTGTGACCTTCATCAGGTGAAAAGTGGTTATTTACAAACATCCCAAACCCCAGCGTCCTTACACAAAAATGGATAAAATTTGAAATGATACAAAGAACATAATAAGATCTAAGACCTAATTCCTTTCCCTTTCTCTGACCAATCCTAATTGTTTTATTACAATTTAAGTAAAGAGAAATTTCTCCACTAGTCTAAAAATAATTTGTATTGCTACTGCACACAAAAGACAAGGGTTAAACACTAATTTAATTTCTTTAAATAATATGTGAAAATAACCATTCTTTACCCGATGAAGGTCACAAGATCCGAAACACGTGTACCAAACCATATGGAAAAATAAAGTATTATATATATATATATATATATATATATATATATATATATATATATATATATATATATATATATGAGACGACGGTATATATTTTTATATATCAAAAACTGTATTGAGGAAATTGTAAGACAAAATGGAGAAGTTGTCTAGAAAGTCCTTTAATCGCTAGTTCAGCCGCAATAAATTTAAATTTACGTCCAGGTTCTTACAACGTTTCATCATTCCTGACAGAATTTCTGCTATCCCAATGTGGGATATTTCAAATCAAAC